GGGGGTGTACTCATAGTCGTGCATGCCGTAGTCGTTAGACCATTGACCTCGCATCCCTACAAAGCCGGGACGGAGCACGCCGGGTTCTCACCGGACCAGGCTCTCACATCACCAAGCGCGAAGCGCCGTGAGATATTCGGCGAGTCGCATGAAGGGTGCGCTGCATCCTGCTACGGGTGTTAGGCATCTTGTGCTTACTTCCTTGTGTACAGATGACAGCTGCGTATGACTTAATTTATTTTCTGGTGCTCTCACTTCCTNTCGTTGCCAAGCGACGAAACCCAATCCCGATGGCAAACACCGGGGGGGGCGGCTTGTTTTACAACGTCGTTGCCAAGCGACGAAAACCCAACCCCGATGGCAAACACCAGGGGGGGACAGGCGGGAGAAAAGCTACGAATTTCTGCTAGCTGGGTCCAAACTTGGATGTAGCTAGCTGCTGCCCTCCTTCTCGCGTGACCCTCTGACGCGGGCTACGTGTTACACACTGTGCATTCCTCAACACGCGTCTATCGAACTCTTGCTGCAGGAGCAGCGAGGCAGCAGAACGAGAACTCCGTGAGACCTTTTTCTTTGTGAGACCCCAGAAAACCAAACTAAGACAACCCAACCAACACGCCTCCAGGGCGGCACAACAATACCCCACATACAAACGTAGATCTGGGAGTTGTTCCGAATTCTTCCGTGCACAATATATAGGCCTCTGCTCCATCGGCCACTTTTTTTTTCTCTTTATCTGCCGGTTTTTTTTTTTTCGGCTTCTTTTTTTCCTTTTTCGGCCCCTTATTTTTCTTTTTCGGCCGCCCTCATTTTTTCCCGGCCACGCCATTTTTTTTTCGGCCACCACAATTTGTGCAATTTTCTTCTCGGCCGTAGCCGTACATGTGGGTAACCTCGCAGCCTGCTAAGGGCCAGGTTATGGGTTCGAGTCCCGGCAGAGTGAGTTATTCGACTTCGTAAGTCGCGAGGGAAGGGATTGCTGTGCTCTTCTCGCGATCAAAGTTCCTCAGGCAGGAACCGCAGGAGGGGGTCCAGCCCCCCCCTCCTATGTAACCCCGGTTGGGTCGTGTAGTAGACGTGGAGGATAGGGGCCAGAGGGGCAGACGACATCAGAGTCCAATGATTGGAGGAAAAAAAAAATGTACGATTTTAACATACTATTGCGCCTCGCGCATACCTGTCCTGTAACCTATGCTTGATGCTTTGTTCTTGGTAAATAAAGACCAAAGACCACCCCCCTAAGTGCAAAAATAATGGTAGGTATCCCCTAAACCAATATTGTATTTATGAAGGGAAGGGGGGAGGATGGCAACCGATTTTCGACATTCGGCCGGTTGAAATCGGAACTCTGCCCTAGTAGCCGATTAGAAATCGGCCGTAGCTAATTGAAAATATGCTACAGGCAATCCTAATTCGGCTGAGCCCTGCCCAAAATCGGCCGCTTTGTTTGAAAAATCGGCCGTTTTTTTTGGCCGTTTTCCGGCCGAAATTTTCAGAAATCGGCTCCTTCGGCCGCGGCCGATGGAGCAAAGGCCTAACAATATACTACAGTTCATTCGATCTTCGACAACAAACTTTCATTTTTCGGCCTTTTCCACCTGCTGCCACGAACGTGTGCAACTTAAACGCAAATCGCGTCCTATGAAATCGTAGCTATTGTGTTCACGGAGGTGGCACAAGAAACAGGTCCAGGATCCGTTGCGCCAACATCTCTCAAAACGAATCCTGCGATGCGGTAGTTTTGGGTGACGCACGGGTCCACAAAGTCCCCCGCTTGTCGAAAAAAAAAAAACGTGGTGACCACACAACCAGCCGATTCGGTAGCGACGGGCGCATTAAGAGCGCCGAGGCTCACTGCCGTCTACGGGGCGAGCACCTAGGGAGCAAGCTCTGGAGGGAGCAACACTAGGGGGGAGAGAGCGAGGGGGTGGCCTGTCTGGCGTTTGGGAGCGGGGGCGAAGCAGGCACGACGGTGGAAAAAGCTCAACTGGTGTTGTGGGACAGATTTTTTCGTGCGATTTTTAATGACCTGACGTTTCGGCAACAATGCTGAGCTCCACCACCGACGCTACACTGCAGCTCCTGCTGCCGTTGCTGCTCCATGAGTAGCAGTGGTTTACCTGCTTTCCTCGCAATGTCTATTCGACCCCCTGAAAGGGCGGGAAGGGCGGCGGCGGCTCCAGTCGTTTTTGGTACTATGTTGTAAAAATCAGACGTACCTCTTCCTCGTCGGTGTTTGTTTTTCCGCTCATCATCTCTGAAATTGTGCACAGGCCCAACGGCCCTGCCACCGGCACTACTGCAGCTGTTGCTACCGTTCCTGCACCATGAGTAGCATTGGTTCTCTTCCTTTGCTTGCAATGTCTGTTGAGCCGCATAGACGGGCGGTAACGGGAGTGGCCGTTGCAAATCCGTTTGGGTGTGTATTGGTTTTTGGGTGAGATCTCTGCCTCTTTCGTGTGCGTGTGTGCACGTTGTTCAACAACTGATTTTTGAATCATTCAACCGTACTTCCAGCGTTGCTGCAGCCTGCGTCGCTACAGCTCTTGCTACTCTCTCTGCGCCATAAATAACAGTGGTTGCCCTGCTTTCCTTGCAATGTCTCTTCAAGCCCGTAGAAGGGCGGCAAGGGTGGCGGCGGCTTCAGTTCCTTTTTGGAAAAAGTCAGACCTACCTGCTCCACCTTATCGGTGTATTTTTGTTTTTTTCTGCTGATTTCCGAAAAATTGTGCCCGGGTGCAACGGCTCTGCCGCCGCCGCTATTGCAGCTTATGCGACCGTGCCTGCGGCATGAGTAGCGGTGACGGTCCTTCTCTCCATTAAATATCCGTGCGGCCCCACAGCCGGGTGGTAACCTGGGCGGCTACAGCTGTAAAAAAATCAACACAGACCACAGCAAGTTTTCAGTCTTTTCGCTTGTCAAGCTGACTTGGCTGCCAAAAATGCGGGGATTGATTGGCCACGAAATAATTATTTCAGAAGAAGGGGCTGTTCAAAAGATGGTCCGTGTGACACAATTTCCGCCCAAAATCAGGGTCAGGCGCAGGGCTAACAGTGGAACGTGGCGTCCGGTCGGTACTACTTCTATGTCGAACCGTTTTTTCCGCAGTCAACGCGCATGATCGCCAGACGGCATCGACAAGGACAACGTCGGAGCTGCCAAGAGCCCGAGTGTACAACATGGCCATCGTATGGTGCACGCCTGAAGAAGGCGGAATTCTGCAAGAGGCACGCGAAGCAGGGTATGATTAACGTCGTAACCAGGAAGTGCAGCCATCCAGGGTGCATCAAAAGTGCGTCATTTGGAAAACACGGCAGCAGCAAGCGCGAGTCCTGTTCTCAGCACGCGAAACAGGGTATGGTAAACATTTGCACCAGAATGTGCGACTACCAAGGGTGCCTCAAAGCCTCAAGCTTCGGCGTAAATGGCAGCAGCAAGCGCGAGTTCTGTTCTCAGCACGCGAAACAGGGTATGGTAAACGTTTACCTCAAGAGGTGCGGCTACCCTGGGTGCGTCAAAGCCCCAAACTTCGGCGAAAATGGCAGCAAGAGAGCGGAGTTTTGCTCTCAGCACGCGACGAAGGGTATGGTCAACGTTTACGCCAAGAGGTGTGGCCACCCAGGGTGCGTCATAGTCCCGAGCTTCGGCGTAAACGGCAGCAAGAAGGTGGAGTTTTGCTCTCAGCACGCGAGGAAGGGTATGGTTGCCGTCATCAACAAGAGGTGTGGTCACCCAGGTTGCATCAAGCAGCCGTCATATGGTGAAGCCTGCGGCATGAGAGCGGAGGCCTGCTCTCAGCACGCGACGAAGGGTATGGTAAATGTTCACGCCAAGAGGTGCGGCCACCCAGGATGTGGTACAATCCCGAGCTTCGGCGTAAATGGCAGCAAGAAGGTGGAGTTCTGCTCTCAGCACGCCGCGACCGGTATGGTTAACGTCGTCAGCAAGAGGTGTGGCCACCCAGGGTGCATCACGCGACCGTCATATGGTGAGACCGGCAGCAAAACGCGCGAGTTCTGCAAAATGCACGCGAAGCAGGGTATGGTAAACGTGCGCACCCAAAGGTACGTACGTCCGCCCCACCCGAAGGTACGTATGCCCGCCCGTTGAGCAGCTAATATTTGGTGAGAACGGCAGCAACAAGCGTGATTTCTGCAAAGGGTACGCAAGGCGATAATTGTACACCGGAATGCGCCGAAGAGCAGAGGTCGCCGCTTGAGGTATCGCTCCCGACGTGCTTTCATTCGGATCGTCACGACCGTGGAGTGATCTTGAATTCTTGATCGATGTAAGTGCGCTATGTCTGATACTGGTCGTTCTCCTGTTCGACCAGTGCGTTGTGTGATGGTGATCACCACCAGGGCAGTCGTTCGGACGAGGCGCTCGGGAAGCCAAGCCAGGTCGACGGTCGCGCAAATTGTGGGACAATTCTGTTTGTTTCTTTGACTCTCATTTCTTTGAGTCTTCCTGAAAGTATAGTGACAGATGGGGGGGTAGGCGATACTGCTTGTGATCGTTCCACACATGAGAAAGGCGAACGGAGGTAGAGAGACATCCTTGGGTCACGAACCGGGTGGAGGAGGAGTGCAGACTTGGGGAATCGAGCGTCATTATCTGAGAGCGGTTTTTCAGGCCATCACATCGAGAATACGTTGCGGGAAGAAAACGAGTGTAGCATGTCCGTGGTGATGCTTAGAGGAAGTCGAGAAATTCTGCTGGCACGAGTGATCCTATTCTCATGGTTTGATGTTGTGAAAATGCTACCCGCGATGATTTCGGTTATAGTATCCGTTTTTGATGCTCTTCGTTAGGTATCGAGTGAGAGCCCCTTCCTGCCCTCGGCTGCTGATTAGTTGTGCTGTGAAATCTTGTCGGTGTGGTAGTTGTGTCAATGTTCTCAAGTGCCGCGGGGTGTAGAATACGACGCGCTGGTTCACAACGGGTGGAGAGCCAGAAGCCGGGTTGTTTCACCGACGAGTGATTACTTCGTGGTGAACAACGCGATTGATGCGAGTAGGTGGGTCAGAATAACTGGTAGGAAGTACAGTCGAGGGACCTGTAGTGTGCCCGTTAAATAGTGCCAGGTGCCCGGAATAGTGCCGGTACATTCTCTGAACACAGGCAGAGCTCTCAATAATGCTAGACCGGCACTATTGAGATCTTGCCCGGTATAGTGCCGGTTGGACGTCGCTGTAACCCCCAACAATGCCGGTTCGCCCGCGCGTGAACACACACAAGCCCGTTGAGCGCGATCGATGCTAACAATAAAAAACAGCACGGCTATTTGGGACAACGTTGTCCCAAATTTTATTTGGGACAACACGTCTTACTCGGCGTAGAAAGCTCGGATCGACCTCAAACCAAGTTTGTTGTAATCCTACTGGACACAGCTTTCACGGAATGTATTTTGAGTCCACAACGGAGCCGGGGCCGAGGAGATAGAGCCTAACAAAGGGGCTCCTTGTTGTGGAGGAAAACGTGGATTTACCGAAGCCACGGAGCCCCTTTTTGAGGCTCTATCTCCTCGGCCCCGGCTCCGTTGTGGACTCAAAATACATTCCGTGAAAGCTGTGTCCAGTAGGATTACAACAAACTTGGTTTGAGGTCGATCCGAGCTTTCTACGCCGAGTTAGACGTGTTGTCCCAAATAGCCGTGCCGAATAAAAAAACACACACACGATGAAACAGCCTTGCTTCGCCTGAAGACATATCATACCAAGACTTATCATACCAACAGTATTCGGAGACCGTTTACCTTCGAGCTGGCGCGTATTCTGTCGGTACGAAATCGTCATGTTTTCAAACGTCATGGACTCCTGATCGACCAATTTTCACCACGGCCAAGGTTGGGACCTCGGTAGCTAGTGCAGATATCGAAGATGATGATGCTAATGAGGAGAACTCATTCGGTAGCGATGAAGGAGGAGGAGAGGGAACGAGGGGACAAGAGAACAAACACGACAGCAATCGAGGAGGGAACCATGGAGAGGAAGAGAGCAAGCGCTTTGAGCCGGATGACGTTCCCCGCAACAAACGGCGAAGGGCTAGACAAGGACTGCCGAGAAATACCTGTAAAAATGACGATGAGAGCGATGGTGGTCAAAGCAAGGAGGATGATGGTGAGAGCACCCCAGAACGAACTCGAGTGCAAGGTAGCAGCCTTGGTAGACACGTGCACTTTTCTTCTAATACCGTTTCTGTCTTTAACTCGGAGAGTAGCTTAGCCGCCCCCTCACGGGGTCCCAGTCAATGGCATTTAGAAGTTGATTGTGTGGTCAACCGCACTGAGACTGACGTCTTTTCACTGGTCAGTCGGTTAGCGCGGTCGATGCTACTTGAAAAAAACACACCACACAACCAGGCATAGGACAGACTCCCAAAAAGGAATAGGGTACACATGCTGCTGCAGTGTCTGACCCGAAAAGCTTGGTACGAATGGGAGCTTTTCAAACAGTTTCTGCCGTTACCGATTAATCGGTTGCATGACGCGTGTCTTCCTTTCGCCGTCGACTAGTGCTAGTGCTAGGGAGGTGCTGTACTGTAGCCCGAAATGCAACAACTTAATTTTTCAACAAAATCTTGTGGGGTCGACAGGGTGCAGAAAGTCTGCCCACACCCCATGCTAGAACTTCACGAAATGTCGATCCATTTGGTACTCCGTTGGCCCCGCAAGCGTGAGGGCCAGACCTGCACTAATGAGGGATTGCGCAGCCCTCAATGGTGCCGTATTGGCATATTCGCAATAGTGCCGGGTGCCCGATTTAGTACCGGTGAACGTTCTGTGCACGTACCGGCACCACACAGGTCCCTCGACTGTACCTCGTTTCTCCCAGTGTAAAGTAGGGTAATGAATGGCATATTTGGGAAGCTCGACGAGGTTCAGCCATGCTAGCGACAAAGGTGAGGTCCGAGATTTTCGATTCTAAGAGAATCACAGAGAAATGGCACCGGGTGCGAGTGCTTTTTTCTAAATGAGTTTTCCTCGTTTTATTTGTCGTACAACGGTGAGATCTCTCCGACCCGCTTCGGCAATGGAATTATGTCCTTTCTGTATGCTATTTCACGGTACCCCGGTGCGATCTCCCCGACCGTTGCAATACCCTACGAAATACACACGACCGCCCTACTACAGCAGTAGTACTGCGGCGGTGCTATGTCCCCGAAAGATGCCTTCTCTCCGCCTCTGGGCCGTGAAGGTATCCATAAGCAGACGGTGTGTGGCGTACATAGGCAACCTCAACAGACGGTAATTGCACACACCCATCCGTGAACCAGGAAAGAGCGGCGAAATATAGAGTAAGGGCGGGTATTAAGGACCACGCCCCCTATAAGGACCACTTTTTTCAAATGAGCATATCTCGGTGCAAAATCTGCCGTCCCCCTCAATTTTTTTTTTTATTTCTCGCGAAAGCGTTAGCTTTCCTTTGCGCACCTCAGCGCGACGATCCGACCATTCCACCACGAGCTACAGCACCAGATGCACCAGCACGGATGATTCTGCGTAGACTAGCACTTTTGTCCGCCTTCCTGCTAAGCATGGGTCGGAGTAGAGTGGACTCCGCAGCGGCCGAGAAGGCGTGTGCAGCGGTCCGCAACGGCAGCATGTCACGCTACGCTGCCGCTGCTGCCTTTGGGTTGAGCAAGACCTCGCTACTGCGGCGCCTGAGCGGTGAGTGCGACATGGACGCACGGGTTGGCCACGGGACTGTGCTGACGAAAGAGGAAGAAAATGCGCTGGAAGATGTGCTGCTGTACGCTGGTCGGAACTATATTCCTCTCACGAGGAACGACCTGAAGGAGCGTGTGAGACAGCTCTGCAACGACGACCGGCCGATCCCATGGGACCCCGACAAGGGCCTGGGGAAGTCGTGGTTGCAGGGCTTCCTCCGAGGGCACGATCGCATCAGCCTTCGACTCGCCCGCATCTACGAGGCCAACAGGATGACCTCGCCGGAAGATGATCGTCTGCACAAGTTCTACAAGTTCTGGCAGGAGTTCGTCAACGAGCACAAGCCAGCACCCGACCACGTTTGGAACACGGACGAGTCAGGTGAGCATCTAGA